CACCTTGCGGTCACAACACAGACTGAACTCCAAGGATTCCTCAATTGCCACATCATAAATAAACTTTTACAAGAAGCTGCAGATAGCAGACTGAACATATTCCCCCCTCTGTCTTAGTTGACCAAGCCTAGGTCAAAACCTAGTATATGGCTGGACTGCACATGGTCAATGTGCAAAATTGAGGATGTAGTTGAAAGCTGTTGTGGAACCGCTGTAAACAACTGACATCATTGTGTCCTATTCTCTCCTACTCTCAATGCTCACATATAGAGTATTTTAATACAGCTAAATTCACAATAAAGCTGCTCTGATTTACATTTTTCAGTTTCTGTTGTTAAACAAATGAACAAGTTAGAAATAGTGACTGAAACTTGTCCCATTAAGACTACATGGTTAACCTGCAATCACTTCCAAGCTGCTGCTCTGCTGCTAAAATAATAATTTTACAACCTTGACGTCGTCTGACCAACTCACCAAAGACATAAGTTAAAGACTTTGCAGTGATTTCAGTGATATTTACTGTAAAATGATCACTCAGAGAGAAAGTCAGAAGAGATAGTATTATAGTCAACTATGGTATTTCCTCAAAAAGCAAGCAGGGCCTTTATTTACCTCAACTCCAGAATGTGACAGGCTTATATTAGAAGCAGGTCTTCATTTCTAATTCCCTCTGCTTGGTATGTGTAATTGGTCATACCATATTTTAGTAAGAAGCCTTGTCTGCCGTCTTAAAGTTACTTCATTTCCTGTATACATATTCAACACTTCCTGTAATTGTTTCAAATTAAAAGCCCTCTAGCATGAAACCCTTTATTTCCTAACAGGGCTTTTTATTGCTATAAGCGTAATGTCTCATTTGCGGTTGATGGCATTTCTGTTGCTTACATGCTATTCAGATCTGCTAGTTTCTTTAGTCAACAGTTACGAAGCCTTCTCTCTCTCCTTCCCATTATCCTGCTCTCTCTGTTCGGTGTACCGGATGTTTAGTTATTCCACTGCCTCCTTTAGTAATAATGATACATGTAATGAAAGTAGTTCATTTGTTGAAATGGAGACGATGTTCAGTGAACTGGGAGTGCTCCTCCGCTTCCCTGTAGCTTCCAAGACTAGGAAGCAGGGATGGCTGTGTGACTGCCTGTAACAAAAGGCGTAGCCCTAAGCCCATGGGTAGCATCTATACACGATCCAGTCACGTGGCATTCGAATGACAAGTGGTTAAAATATCATCAGGCAGTCAGTCAGGGACATTAGCCATTATAGGGCTGGCCCCACTGTTGTGGTCCAGCCAAAAAAATCATTCAGTATCCTATGCACAATTCAGGATTGAATGCCAGCAGTGTAGTAGGAGTAAAGCCATTCTGAAGGTTGTTGAACTTGCGTCAGTTCAGTACGTCACTCCTGCTGCTATAACTCATTTTGGAATGTAAACTAAGTCAACCATATCTCCAGTAAATTAAATCAATTTGCAACAATTTAGCATCACCAAAATACATTTGGGCTGTGGTTTTGTTTTTCTTCAACATACCAGACTGCATGTTAATACTAGCCAAAATGTCTTCTTTACAAATCCTGTAAATGTTTCATCCTCCCTTTACTGTTAAAATTGTTTAAAGTTTATTTTTTATTGCTGAACCTGACTATGAACACATTAACACCTGTAAGCACCTCCATTCACACCACAGCCTGCACAGACCCTAAATGAGATGCAGAGGGAGAGTCGCAAAACAGACAGCAACAAAACTGCAGATTGTAGAGGATTAAAAAAAAAGCACCAGGCTTTAAAAAGGGAGAACTAGATGTTAGACAAAGATGGAGAAATAGGCAAAAGTAACCAGAGGAGAGTTAAGGTCAAAAGAGAGAGAGGGAGAGAAAAAAAGGAGAAAAATGTACAGAGGTGGACATATCTGGGCCAGCATGGACACATTCACATGTAAACACAGTCCAGTAATATCTGGAGGCCTCTGCTATAGAAACACAGACACTGACCCTCCACTGAGAGACAAAAGGAGTGTGTGTGTGTGTGTGTGTGGGGTATAGTGAGAGGTCATCTTTCACCAAGCATTGAGATCACACCTGGGCTCTCAGTGCATAGATTTCCACCAGGCAGTTTGGAAATACACAGAAAGAGAGAGAGAGAGAGAGAGAGAAGAGTGAGTGAGTGAGTGAGTGAGTGAGTGAGTGAGTGAGTGAGTGAGTGAGTGAGTGAGTGAGTGAGTGAGAAAAGAGAGGAAGGGAGGGAAGAATGAGAGAGAGAGAGAGACACACACACACACACACACACACACACACACACACACCCAGACGAACACCTCTAGAAGAAAGCCACACCCTGTTTGCCTTTCGTCAAACGGCACACGAAAATGTCACAGTGTTCCCAAGTCTATGTACCCAGCATGCCTATCTGTGACCGGAGGACCCCCTCTCCACACATCAACACCATCACCACCCCCCGTCGCCCCTCTCTCCTTATCCACGCCTCCATCCCCACCGCCCACCACCT